CTGACTGTACCCAGACATTAACATTCCCACATCTACTCCATAACCTGACTGTACCTAGGCATTAACATTCCCACATCTACTCCATAACCTGACTGTACCTAGACATTAACATTCCCACATCTACTCCATAACCTGACTGTACCTAGACATTAACATTCCCACATCTACTCCATAACCTGACTGTACCTAGGCATTAACATTCCCACATCTACTCCGTAACATGACTGTACCCAGACATTAACATTCCCACATGTACTCCATAACCTGACTGTACCTAGACATTAACATTCCCACATCTACTCCATAACCTGACCTAAACATCAGCTTGAGAGTATCTAGACATTAACCCTTCCATGTCTATGCTATAACTTGACTGTACCTACACATTAACTTTTCTACATCTACTCTATAACTCAACTGTACATTTCTTCTTTCTGCTGTCATCAAATGATCACAATTTATAATAATTCTTATTTATAACATTTGTTAGTGATACACTAATTCATTTTTTCTTTCATTTGTCCTATCCATAAAGGTACACCATGCCACTGTGACAACCAGCAATGAAAGTAAACCAAAAGTAAAAATGTTACCAGCACAGAAACATGTTTCTAGAAAAAAAATTATGACATCATGAGGCACATAACCCAATACAGTTTACTTTAATGCTAAAACTCTTGCAAAGGATTTTATATATCAATTTAACCCTATCTGGACTGGTCCAGGCATGAAATGTAAATTTGCATGTGAAATCTCAAAATTTAATTACAAATATTAATTCTAACTATTTCAACAATTCTTACCAAATAAATATTTTATAATTTCGTTTTTGTCAGTTTGTAATATTTATCTTTAACTTTCATTTCTATGCAGTTCCAAAAAGTCACCTGTAAACGACTTATTTTTTCTTATTGTTTTAATTTTCCCAAAGAATAGGTTTACATCCACAAAGAAACTATCATCCCCTAAAAATATATAATCATTTACATCTTAGTTCTCAATACGTATTTGTTGCCATCCTTTATGATGTCACAATAATGAAACACAGCTTTGAAAGTAGCTATAATGAACATTTAAATACAAGTCAACAAAGCAGATTGTAAACTATTTACATCAATATATAACGAACAAAGTGGTTTGAGTAGTAGTTTATGGATTTTTGGAAAACTGACTAGTCACAGCTTATTCAGGGGTGAATCTAGTGCAAAAATAAGGAGGTTAGGAATAAGCCACAAATCTGGGATATTATTTATGTTCCGGAAAATGTTTTTGTGTTAAATTATGTCAATTTTAAAGCTACAGAAATTTTCTTTTATAAGAAGACATAAAGTAAGCTTAATTAGGTTCCTCACGAAGCTAAGTAGCCATGCTTGCATGGTGTGACAAATATTTTCTGGACTAGCACACAACAAGATTGCTGCCAAGCTTCAATTCAGAATCAAATTCTGGCAGTACTAACACCTCAGATAACCTATGAGGCAGCAGTAGCAGCCAACAACCATGAAGTCCTCTACTCCAACTTGATAATCATCAATAAATGATAAAACCTTCAGTCCAACTCAAGTCCTGAAAGTGCCACTCACCATCATCATAAAAGGGATTTCTAGAAGCTTCCACTTACCCTGCATTGCCAAAGATAACAAGAACCTCTTCCCATCAGTGACTTTCATCCATGTTCGCCAACTAGCCGAGGGTGCTTCAATGGTGCTAAAATTGCCATCCACATTTCAGGCAAACCACAGCAGAAGAAGATGAATGTAATCAGTAGTGTCCTCAGAGATGTAGAAGAAGAATTATTCATACTTGGCATCCCCATTGCTAAGGCTGAATTGCAAATAATCGGAGATCCAACACCACTAGTGTGAGCCACTCTTAACCCTACACAAGTTAACATGCTAATCAAAATAGATATCTCCCAGGGGTTCACATAATTCACAGTGGAAAAAGCAAAGTCACTATGACCAACATCAGTAGTCCAGTATGTAGAATTATAAACGGACTTTCCTCTACATTAAAATATTTTTATTGAAAGCTTTTGTCCCTCTTACCAGTGCCTTCATTGGGCAACAATGCAGACCAGTAGTACAGTGCTAAAACTATCAGAAATTCAACCACAGCAAGGTCAACTGAATGGCCAAAATTAGATGCAGAGATCTTCATCCTGTTAAGCCAATATCCCAATGCTAAGGAGCAAACACACTGTGCCAACATTGGAGGGCTCCAAGCAGATCATATCAAGGATGTCCTAAGTGCCTTCAAAATTAGCAAAAACCAGCAGGAATCAAGGACAGCCAAACAACTACCTCTCTACTGAGAAGGAAACAGTAAACGTTAACAGAATACCAGGAATCCACCTGCCCAAGAAACCAGGAGCTACTGTCCAGTTGGCACCTCAGCAGCTGCTGAATTCACTACCAACCATCACCCATTGTACCCAAACATATGCAAAGGCCACTAAACAGCAGGTAGAATCACCCAGATGCTACCAAGACTTTAGCAAAGTTATCTACGGAATGATTGCCTCTGTTATAAATACCATTATCTCCACCCACAGTGCATACAGACTCCATACCCAAATTAGTCAACAAAGTTTGTACAGCTCCTACATATTTACTTGTCTTTGAGGAATCTAGATCCAGTGGTCACTCAGGGCTGTTAATAACAGGTAAGTTCACCAGTATACACTCCTCGCTGTATACAATTCACCATTTACCAAACCCAATAATGCCCTCACGTGTGCAGATAGTTATCAACCAAAACCCCAGAACTACCATTCTCAGTAATCTAAATTCTAAGCATACTGACTTCAACAATGCAGTTTTAAATAGAAACAGTAGCATTTTACATTCATTCATAGAATGCTATGACCTAATAATTGTGAACGATAACACACGCGTGCACACAAACAGAACACAGGATATATCTGACCTTGCAATTGTTTCTCCCACACTAATCTACACATATCTAATTCCAAAGTTCTTGAAAATGAGGGTGATTATAACCCCATACTGTTTTCTACCTTCCAACTTACCATATCTAATTCCCAAGTTCTTGAAAATAGAGGGTGATTATAACCCCATACTGTTTTAGATATGGTAAGTTGGAAGGTAGAATTCCCAAGTTCTTGAAAATAGAGGGTGATTATAACCCCCTACCTTCCAACCTACCAATGGAAGAACCTCTTCTTTACGCCTAGTTTTTGATTTTACCAAAGCAAACTCGGGTACCTTTAAAATTATCTTGGACTCTCCCCTTCATGAAATACTACAGTCAGCCAGGTACTCTGTAGCTATAGACAATTATGCCCATACTATCACCTCAGCAATTTCCAAAATAAGCAACAAAGCAGTCCTATCAGACAAACAAAACTGTAAGCCTAACTACTGGAAACTAATATCTAAAACACAGAAACACATACTAGAAATACATCACTTATCCATAGTTACCCACAACACTTCCCTCAGAGTTCTCATTAACCAACAAATTAACACAATGAATAAATTAAATAATCAGCAACAAGAACACTGTCATAATTTCTGCAAAACAATAGATAATACTAAGAGCAACCAAATACTTGCCACAATTTAGACTACAGTTATACAATTGCCACCATGCACCCCAAGAAGACCAAGTTTCCAGCAGCTTACTACGAAGAAGTCTTTTTTTAAAACCCCAAAACAATAGATAATACTAAGAGCAACCAAATACTTGCCACAATTTAGACTACAGTTATACAATTGCCACCATGCACCCCAAGAAGACCAAGTTTCCAGCAGCTTACTACGAAGAAGTCTTTTTTAAAACCCCAAAATTTAAGTCATTTTGATCTGCATGATTTCCACAAAGTTTAAAATCATGTATCTCAAGATAGGTAATTATAATCTCATAATATCATATAATCAGCAAAGGTCACATTCATCTGCACATTATGACTCTATAATTCAACCTATCACTAAAGCAGAGATCAAGGTTCCCATCAAACAACTTAAAAACACTGTCCCCAGTGAGGATGGTATACATAACATAGTACTAAAAATACATTTGACACCTTAAGCACATGCACCTGCATTCTTTTTAATCTATTCTTTGCATCTTGTTATTATTCTTTGATTTGGAAACCTGCTATAATTAAAAATTTTCCTTAGGAATAACATAGGTTTAGATAACTCCAACATGTACTGTCCGATAAATCTCTTGAGCAGTGTAGGAACTTTAGAAAAACATTATAGCCACATGATTACTATAATATCTCAAAATAAACAACCCTGTAACATACATAACACATCCAGAAAAAAAGAAGGCAAACTTTCAATCACTTGGTCCAATTCACCAAATGCGTATTTAAAGGCTTCAACTGTAAACATACAATCGTAGCAACTAACTCAGTTTAGCAAAATGTCTTCCATGTCAAACTTCCTCTCCAACCATTCAGCTAAATATAAAATTAATAATGCTTTATTAAATTCTTTCCCTTTACTAGCAGATGCAACATAAATCTTCCTATTAAACCCTTTATTATACATAAACTTTGTAATGATATCCCTTTCCCAGCTCTTTTATCCACTCACACATCTCAGTATGCTGATGACATAGATATTTGGAGTACATCACATAACCCTCTGGCTACTACATTTAAAATTCAAGCTTCTCTCAATCATCAGGTCACTATATGGTATAACAGATGGTTTGTTTGTTTTGAATTTCACGCAAAGCTACACTAGGGCTATCTACGCTAGCCATCTCTAATTTAGCAGTGTGAGACTAGAGGGAGGGCAGCTAGTCATCACCACCCACCGCCATCTCTTGGGATACTCTTTTACCAATGAATAGTGGGATTGACTGTCACATTATAATACCCCCACGACTGAAAGGGCGAGCATGTTTGGTGTGATAGGGATTCAAACCCGCGACCCTCAGATTGAGAGTCGAGCGCCCTAACCACCTGGCCATGCTGGGCCTTAACAGATGGCATGTAGCACTTAATCCTATTAAAACTCAAGCAATCACCAACAGGAAGCACAAAAAATTTCCCAAGTAAAACTTAAATTTTAAGATACAACAATTAAAATTCACAAACTCCATTAAATTTTTTAGTTATTACATTCAACACTCACCTGACATTATTCTTAGCTTGAAGTAATGACTAATACAGTCAGTAAAATAAAATATCAGAACAAATACACCAATGATTATAAATCAAATTGAAACTAGCTGGAACCTTCTGATCAACATTAAACAAAAGTTCTAAGAAGAAAACAAAAGAATATGTTGAATGTGTTTTCCTTCTAAAAAGTGTCTCATAATGAGGTTTTAGAAATTTCACATGTAAAAAGAGTAACAGAAAAACTACATCAAATCACATGATGTTTTGAAGCAAAAACAAGATACAATTTAGTAAATTTGCTTTAAGATTCAGACAATTTGGTTAACTATTTCCATTGTGAGAAGGGAAGAAAAGGGGATACCAATAGCACTCCTCCAGTCCAGAAAGGGTTAATAAGTTAATATTTACATGTTAAAGATTTTTCCTTTTAACATTTCTTTATCTTCAAGATTCTTTTTTTTCTCTTCCTTCTCTAATAACTGAAGCTCACGTCTTACTGTGTTTTCCAGACTAGGGTCTAGTTCCATTATTCTGCAGAAGTCTTCATGAGCTTCAACAGGATTCCATGCTCCAACATGAGCTTTAGCTCGACGAAAAAGTGCCTTGACATTGTCTATAGAATTGCAACAAAATGGTAACATTTTATACATTAAAAATTTTATCTTCAAGCTAAAAGTTCTTTACAATATATTATTCTATTAACTCAGCAAAATAGATTTTTACAAAATAGCTTAAGACTACTTTATCGCAAAATCTTTACATGCATCACAAAAAAAACCATAACCAATATAACACTAACCATGTGTATTTTAAACTTTATTTGGTTTCTTTAGTAACACAGCAGTTGTTTCCACTAATACAGGGCAGTAAACAACTATGTACAAGTAACATGTCATGGGTTTGTTAATCATTACTTGGCTCCATCAGTAGTGGTTGTGAACACTATCACAGTTCAGTAAAAACAACATACAACTGACCTATCATGGGCACAGTAACTTCTATTTGGCTTTTTTAGTAACACAGTGATTGCAAATACTATCACAGGGCAGCAAACAACTACACACACAACTAACTAAATATGGATATTTTAACTTTCATGTGGCCTCTTCAATAACACAGTGGTTGTGAACACTATCACAGGTCAGTGAAACCAACATACAACTGACCTATCATGGGCACAGTAACTTCTATTTGGCTTCTTTAGTAACACAGTAGTTGCAAATACTATCACAGGGCAGCAAACAACTACACACACAACTAACTAATTATGGACATGTTAACTTTTATATGGCCTCTTCAATAACACAGTGGTTGTGAACACTATCACAGTACAGTAAAACTAACATACATATCATGGGTACGTTAACCTCTACTTGGCTTCTTTAGTAACACAGTGATTGCAAATACTATCACAGGGCAGCAAACATAGTAGTTGTGAATATATATATATATATATATATATATATATCACAGGTACAGTAAACAATTAAATAACATTACTTA